CCACCGCTGCCAACAAATGACATATCACCCAATATAGAAAGTTTAATAGAAAATTGAAATTTAAAACCAGTAGTCGCACCAGGTGTCCCTAATTGAAACGTCGCTCCAATCGCAACAGTTATGGAAGTGATTTCAAAATTTAACACGCCATGGAGACCTGCTGTTGATAATGTAACGCCTCCGATAACCTGTATACCACAGCCACCGGAACAAATGTCTGCGGAAGGTGCAAAACCACCAAGAAATGTTCCTGCTGCTGTAAAATCACCACTCATGACTGCAATAGCTGTCACCGAATTGTAAGTTTGAATACTACCATCAGCAAGCATTCCACAAGTAAATGGACCAGATGCCGAAGTTACTGTAAAACTGGCCCGAACAACTCCTCCTTGAAATATTTGAAGCACGGTTCCTATAGCACCGAATCCTCCGCCACTAAGTATTGCAATGATAGAATTAAAGGGAAACCGAATAACTTTCTTCGTTGTTTGATCTAGAAGTATTCCGCCCCTTCGAACGATGATAGTTGGGGGGGAAGTAAATGTGAAGGTGTCACTCCCAGAGCCCAAGGCTAATGTACCAGATACATCGCAACGCCCCATTTTAAGACTTAATGTGGCTCCCGAAATAGTAATTGTAATACCAGCTGGAATGGAGATAGAAAACGTGCCAGATGGAGCAACTCCACCACTCCATACAGTTGCATCAGTGAGATCACCGGATCCATTAGCGAGAAAAGTAATGGAGCCTAATCCACCAGCTACAGAAGGTAAAAGGAATACAATAGAAAATATTATTGAATATCAACATTCGAAACGTTTTCATACCTGTGCCACCCGTTGCTACGCTTCCACTTGCACTAACAGTTAGCGTAAACGTTCCACCACTAATAAGTGTACCCAAGGTTTGTAACGGACCAATAGCAAGACCAGTCAATGGATTGAATATTTGAATACTTACTGATATACTGCTAGAAAATCCACCACCAGCAGCAATATTGAACTCGCTACCGGGTGGAAGCATGATGTAGCCACCGCTGCCAACAAATGACATATCACCCAATATAGAAAGTTTAATAGAAAATTGAAATTTAAAACCAGTAGTCGCACCAGGTGTCCCTAATTGAAACGTCGCTCCAATCGCAACAGTTA